CGCTACCTTCGGAATCACCATTACCATTCAACTATCGTAAAGTGCAAGAGCTCAATGGCAGGAAAGTCTGGCTACTGAAGGATTCCAATTAATGCAGTAGCAGGAACAGAAAGAACTTCAAAAAATCATTTTAATATAATTATTACATTTTCAATTTGATAATTATTTACAAAAATAATAATACATTGCCTGTAAAAAATTAATTAATTTTCGTCTTACGACGGGTGATCACAAAAAGGTGTCTTCTGATAGTCGCAGTGCAATTCTAAATTTGCTAGTTTGAATGGTGCCCCATTGATGGACATATTGTGGATTGATAGTACTTCAAATTTTAAAGTGTGGAGACCGCTTTCTCTATCTCTTCGTCTTGATAGCTGTAGGAAGAGTGTGAAATAACAATTAGTAATAAAGTAGTTAAATAGTGTCACTATAACACTTCAATAATGAGAAATAACATCATTATTTATCACCAGTACATTCATCTAAAACTCTTTACAAAATGCATGCCAACATGTATAAACTAACCCTCCATTGTGTTCCATAGCTCTTCATGTCCCTTGGTCTGACCTTGCGATCGTGATTGTGCCGGAATGTCTTATTACCAGTTGTAATACCAGCCGGTCTATGTAACTGATACAAAGTATAATGTGAATAAGAAGTTCATAAGTCAAAGTGTCAAAGTTCAAAGTGTCACAATATCACAAATCAAGATTGTACAAGACATTCATTTCAATGCCATTTTTGTATTACCTGTAGTCCAGCTTCTTTGATTCTTAGATAAAGTTCATCATCTTCTCTGCCCCAGCCCCAGAATATATTAGTAAGTCCATTGACCTGGATAGAGGAAGGAAGAATGAGTGTGGCTAGTAGCGAGAGTAAATAATTATCCACTCTTGCTAGTAGTTGATTGGAGCTAAAGACTCAACACAAAAGGTGAAGAATGATAATTTTTAAAATATTTTTTGAGTAACAACATCACTATATAAATGCACAAACAGTGCTTCCCCCACAAAGCAACTTAAGTTGTTAAACAGCATGAGCTTCATGAGCTGACAAGCACTGCAATAGTAGTAGCTAGTACATGGCTTTTGGAGTAACTTTTAAAATTCGTAAAAAAAATCCAATCTTAATCGGAATCAGCTCAAACTTTCTGAACAACATAAGAACATGTATATGCATCAGAAAAAATTATAAAAACACAGAATTCTCTCCTTTTCAATTTTGACAAACTTTGGCCCGAGACCATGTACTGTAGTACAGGGACTTTGGCCTGATTTTGGAGCAATTTTTAAAATTTGTAAAAAATCAAATTTTGATCGAAATCAGCTCAAACTTTCTAAACATCATCAGTACGTGTATATGTATCAGGAAACATTATAAAAATGGAAAACTCTCTCCTTTATAATTTTGGTAAAATTTAGCCAAAAATGACTAGAAGCTGAGTACTATGCTATAAAGAAGCCTTGGGTACAAACTATTATAATAGCAAAGTTTACTACAAATGAGAGTGCCAGTAAAAGAAATTGACTAAAACACACAATATGAGATCAGTTATAGTCATCACACTACGTCATGTACCGCCATATTGAGCAAAATTATAGCCAAGCTTAGTTGTACCATATTACACTTTGCAATCCTCATTTATGGGCTATCTGTGGCTTCTTGTTTCTAGCTTCTTTATAATAATAAACAATACATTGTGCCAACCAGACTATATCTTAAAGCAACAACATACATGCATTAATACCAGATTGCTTCTGTTTGTGGTAATTCCTTGAAAATACTGATAATAATATTTGGGAAAAAAGAGATAAT